CTGGTGTTGCGGTTGTTCATGGGCGGCGGTAGTCACTTACCATCAGGTGAGCCGCATGCTCGTTTGCCCCCTCTCCTATAAAAAAAAAAAAAAATTTTGCAATTACTTGAGTAGCAAAAATTAGAGCAGCTCTCCGGAACAGTTATGGAAGTACAGATGTAAAACATGTACTCCGTAAAACTGCTGTCATTGATACTAAGCTTATGAAGTGAAACATCATAACCTCTTCACTTCAAGATCATACACTCATAACGAATTACTGAAAAAAGAATTGTGAAATAATTAACTTCAAAAAAATAAATTTTTACAAAGAAATTAACAGAAATTAGCAGAGTAATGTGATGCGTAAACATGATTTTGGATTACAACCACCAGAAGTGCAACGCTACACAACGCATTATGTGGTTGAGAATATGGCTATGGCAACTTTAAAAACTTTAAATTATTCAAAATAGCTACCTACGTATGATAGGGTTATAGGGTACGAGTGAGCGCAAGCAAAAGTGCTCTCTCTGTTCTTCATTCGCTTACTTTCATAGTCCGATGGAACTGCAACTTTTTTTTTAATATTCTTCTAAGCCAGCGTTTATCTACGATTCCACCTGATGGTAAGTGGCGATGTAGCCTAAGATGGTGAAGCACACTGACTTAACAAAAGCCTATTCACTATTGTCTTGAAGAAAAGACAGATGCTGGCCACTTATTCCACTCCTTTGCTGTACGCATAATAAACGACGTAGCGAACCGTTTGATTAGAATGCGTGGTAAGTCAACAACGAAAGGGTGGAGACTGGCCGAAAGTCTATTTGGTCCGATGGTGGAAGGAAGAGGAAGGAATTCAATTATGCAATTCCTGCGCACACTCTCCGAAATGAATCCTGTAGAAAACCGAAAGGCTGGCTACTTTACGTCTGTGTTCGAGGCTGGTAAGATTGGCTTAAACCAAATATTGGTCACCAATAAGCCTTTTAGCACGCCTTTCCATTGAGTCCAAAGCTGCTAGGTGGCATTCTGCAGCACCAGCCCATATATGGTAGCAATACTCCATGCACGACCGGACTTGCGCTTTATATAGAATAAGCAGCTGTGTCCGGCGTGAAGTATCGCCGCACCTCCATTAGATCAAATGAAGGCCAGAGACCAACGGCTATGAATGCTTTCGGGGGCACGAGTTTGAGCATCACTAACTTCCTGACTGTTACTGAGAATTTTTGATAGAAAAACTCAATTACTTATATTTTTGGGCCAAACTTGGATTTGAAACCGAGACCACACGATCAGCAGTCACGCTTACGACCACTTGGCTAACGAGGCAGATAATAATAACAACGTGACAAACGAGATATCATTCCACCTGATTGTAAATGGTTACTGCAACCCATACAACTGCAGCCAACTTAAAAAAAAAACGACCGTAGATGGTTTGCTTCGAAAGCACACCTGTAGATAAAAGATCCCGTTCATATAATACTGACACTTTTGTTTTTCCAACCAACGTAATAATTTTATTTATTGAATTGTTGTATTACAGAAATGATTATGTCTTATATCTAGTACGTTATAGAGCCACGCTCGATCATAATACCAGCTTGAAATAGCAGCATAGATGACGAGTACTAGGGAACCATTTTTATGATAGACACATCTCATCTCAGTCCTCCAGGATGACAACACATCATTATTTTAAGTTTTATTCCAAAATAGACATAGGTATCTAAAAGCCACAGCATCTATTTAACATCAGATGGGCTATGCGCTTAAAAAATACTTTTCGCATACTTGACTAATAAAATAGCTATGGTAAAGTATGGGAGAGTATTTTCTTCTTACTGTGTTACCTATATCAAAATTATTATTTTTATCTAACAACAAATAGAATAATAGTCATTTAAACTCCAATAGCTTTATTAAAGCAATTAGAATATAATTATAAGTGTAGCAATAGTATTAGTTTTATAATAATTGCAGCAAATATAATAAAGTGTAGAGAAATAACACACGCAGAGATGTTGTTAAATATAACATATTTATGAATAATAACTTATAACCTGCACAAACCAAAGGAGACTTACTTACGTAATCATTAAACTCTATTAAATAAATTAATGATAAGTTGAACCATTAATTTTAAATTGAATTAAAGTTGAATTTGAATTAAATTCAATAAAATCTGTAAAATAAGTTTTATTCAATATATCGCATTGATTAATGATGATGGTGTTAATTCACCGTCCTCATCATCCATTAATCACAATGTGGTTCATTGGGTCATTCATTAATTGTTCTGTTAAATGAATGTGTAACTATTTTATTCATTCATAACAGCCCATCAAAAGTCCACTGTTGGGGACCTTCGCCATGTTTTGCCTCATATGGCAGATATTTGCCATATTTGCTACGCTTGGCAGCCGGGTTGGCAACCGCAAATTATATTGAACTGTTGTTATGAAGACACTGCTGCCTATCGCATGTTTCATTTCCCTCTGTCGCCTCTTACGACACCCACGGGATGATATGCTGTAGTGGATATTCTTACACCGCCACTACACGGCAGTTATGAAGTATTCATGACTGTCATAAATATGCATCAATAATTACAAACATCAACTGGACAAGCAATCCTTTAGTTGATTCAATACATATGTACTCGTAGCAGCATTATCTTGAAAACAACATAAACCCACCTGCCTAGCGTGACAATAATGGCAAAATCCCACCTACGAGTTAGCCAATCTATAGGGAAAGCTCATGTGCAATAGAAGACTTTTATAGGTTGTAGCAGAAAAACTTGCAACGGCTTATGGTTCCCTAAGTTGCTACTGCCTCACATTCTATTTTCCATCTTCTCAAATCAAGGTGATCTTTAGCAAACGGTTTCAATTTTTTTTTTAGTAAAGCATCAACAGTTAGCAATCCCAGTTATTATATACAGCAAATCCCTGTTTATACTAGAGGCCTACATACCGTTATTAATTGGCGGTTGGATAAATAGAATTTGACAATTTCTTTAACAACCTTTCTACGAGGGTGACACTGAAAGTTCTTAAAAAATCAAAAACAACAAACTAGCAAGTTATTAGTTTTATTATATCTTTTCAAAATAGTGTCCATTTACGTCAATACATAGCTGCATCCGATGGAACCACTGAGAAAAGCACTTTGCCCACTCGTCTTTAGGGGTCTCTTCGACGGCATTTTGAAACGCAGCCACTGCTTTCTCGGTGTCAATAAAACGTTTTCCTCGAAGTTTTTCTTTTATTATCGGAAATAAATAAAAATCGCAAGGTGCGAGGTTGGGGCATAGGGCAGGTGACCCAGTAGTTCCACGTCTGACGTCATCAAATTGTCGATTGTTTTCTTGGCGGTGTGCGACGAGGTGTTATCGTGGTGAAGGAGGACCCTAATGCGAGGTCGTATCTTCCGAACTTTTTCCAAGAGAAGTGGCAAAAAATTGTTAGTATAACTCTGCAGTAACTATTTTTCGATCCTCTAAAAAAATTGTTGCGTAATGACCTGTCCTTCGGAAGAACGAGGCCATCATCTTTTTTTTTATAGAAAAGGGGGCAAACGAGCATGCGGCTCACCTGGTGTAAGTGACTACTGCCGCCCATGAACAACCGCAATACCAGGGAAAATGAAGATGCGTTGCTGGCCTTTTAGAAAGATGTAAGCTCTTGTCTTGAAGGTCCCTAAGTCTTTTTTCGCACGCTTCGACCTCTCTTCACTTTAGTTGGCAACTCCTTGGCAGGAAGCACTCAGACAGCAGACTGTCAGTGGCTTGACGACGGGGCTTCATCGTGAAAGGCCAATCGAAGTCTGTTATAACTTTCTTGTAGACTTAAATGACATCGAAAGTCATAAAAAATAATTGTACGAAAATTTTCTCGCGTTAAATTTATGCTGACGTGACAGAGACAATTTTTAATTTGCCGCCAAATCGTAAGCAAACGACAAATTAATAAAATATATACACAATAAGGACAAGGAGTTCCATTTACAAAATTTGAACTTATTTTTTTATTATATCGTTTACAAGTGGCCAGTTCTAAAAACTTTCAGTGTCGCCCTCGTATAATCGTATAATTTTATTTTCTATAAGAAATTGATTCCAAAATACTGGATGCAAACTCAGTGACCTTATATTACACAATCTAAGCATTAGTTACTTAAACTAATTATCCTTATATATGCATAAATGAAAAAGGAGACCATTACTATTCGTTTATGCGAACTACTTAATGTTTACAAATTATCAACCCAGTTCAAAAGGTTACACTTTGATTTTAATGTAGGTGCCTATTTACGCGACAGTCTAGTAATTAACTTAAACTGGTCATATTTCTTAGACCGCTAAAAAGGGTAAAGTAATTAAAACGTTAATAAAAATTAAGAAAATCCTATTTGCATCTATATAAGTGGTAGGACGAATGGTTGGCTCGACCAGGGTAGAACCACGCTCTCACAGAATACCAGCGTAAAATAGCAAGTTAAGGCTGCTGTGTTTAGTATGATGAGTGTAGAGAATCGGAGACCCTTTTTACTGGAAACGAGGGATTCTTTCTTATTCCCCAGATGTGCATTTGACTGTTGGTTCAGGATAAATGTAGATAACTATGGGCCGCAGCATGCACTTATCATCAGGTAGGCTGTGTGCTCGTTTGTCACACTTAGTCTATATAAAAAAAACATAATATCTTCTAAAGCCGGCGCTTTACACATAATTCTTCGATCCACGTCTTCACACCGACTTCAGAATCTACCATTATAACATTGGTATGATAATTACTTCAGTCTTATCATGATCACATAAAACAAAAACAAAAATTATTCAATTAAATGTAATGAATCATCATAGTAAACAAAATAGGCATATAAGTGTTTGTTACTTAGAAGAATATTAATCAAACAAAATCCTAAAATCATAATAAAGTTGTCAAACAGGTTTTGCGATGATACAAACCTTAGCGAACTTATAAATACGTTGTCTTTTAGAACAGCATACACAGCACAGATTCACGGTCCCAAGTAGTCGTTTTATATTTCCTGTGCCTTATCACTTAACGCAATGCGTGATAAAAGTATTATTGTGACTACATTGTTAGTAGTTTTCTGCACATCGGTTATAGAATCAGGTAAAATAGTATTTTTGTTAAACGAAGCGAAATTTTTCTTCTAAACTCATTCGCTGTGATTTTGTATAGTTTCATTTATTTATTTGATTATTTTAATTTTAACATTTTTATACATAAATATTGGAATGACATACATTTAAAAAATATCCAAAAAATGTTTTTGGCAAGTTGATTTCTTTTTTATCTTTTAGTTTTTATATATTTAAAAATATACCAGACGTTTTTGTCGGTTATAAAGTATTACTCTTCAAAATATTTTAATAAAATTCCCAAAAAAAAAAATACTTTTGGCAATCTCAAATTTTAATCACGTATTTTTTGAGTAATTTTAATAATACCTGCAAATCGCCAGATAAATGTAGCGGTTTTAAACAATTGCCAGACGTGAATAAATTTTACAAATGGTACAGTTATAGATGATTTTTTTTTGTAAATATTATGTACTGCGCAGTAACGAAATAACCGCAAACGCTATACCAGACTCGCGAGACTGGCTTCGCCAATCGACGAAATTATATTTTTTCACAATTTCAACTTGCCAAAAGGACCTTCCCAAAAATCGTCGCCAGGTTTCCGGCTATTACTTGAAACAAAGAAGACAACAAATGTGTTGTCACCATTGAGATCTATGATAGAAAACACACGTGCAATTATTATAGCTTTCTTTTAATGATGCTTTAAATGAGCCTGGGTTATGACATTCACCTGTCCGATACCGACCATAGATCTAAGTTCCTAATTATTTCACAAGCTACGAACTGTATATTAAAATTGCAACAAGTCTATGTGCTGCCACAGAAGCATTCAATCGCCTTAATTTACCCATGCTCGATGCAACGGTTACTAAGTTGAATGAAATGTTGTGTAAGGATACATAAAAAAATCCAATTTAATATTTAACCGTTTATTTTTGTTGAGGTTCGAACCAAGAACCTGCTGTTTAGTAGAATACTACTCAGACCCAGGCCAGCAGTCTTGACAGTGAAGTATTGCAGTTGAAGTATTTTTACTTCGTTAAGCGAGACGATAACGTACCCAGAATTAAAATTTCATTTTTATTAAATGAATTGTTATCAGGAAGATGTTGCTTCACATCTTCCCTTTCAGTTTCACTCTACCGTCACTACACGGCCTACTCAGAAACGGCAGACAGATCCCTAGACAGAATAATAACCCTACCTCTATAGGTTAATTATCATATAGTTCTTATATTTATCTAATGTGATTAAAAAGTTAGAGTAACATAAGGAGAATTAGATGTACAGGTTGTCCCCGAACTCAAAATTGAGCAGGAACAGACTGATAGGCTTGGTTATACCAGTTCTGAAAAATAAGAAAAAATCTCAATTTCACTTGGTTAACTGATAATAGTAATACTTTTAAAATGTTGAAAATATATGGCCCATACATGACCCATCAACTTAGATAGTGTGGTCAATATCTAAATGCTGTGGTCACAAATTTCTAAATTTTAAAGTGTTTTTTGTAACAAAATCCTTAATAACTATATCATGATTGCAGTCACAAAACAAATATTAAAATATTTCTTGACGTGTGTTTCAAGTAATGTGATCTTACTACCTATTTTAGTATATCTTTTTTTCTCTTGATTATCAGTAGAGATGTAAACTAATCCATCACTCCCTCTCGTTCAGTGAATATCATAAGAGGTGACTTCGAGAAAAGAAGTGACTTAGATTTACACACTAATGAAATGGAGGATGACGAAAAGGTTTTTCAACTTAACTATGAATTTTACAGTGCCGTTCATCAAGAAGTGTAAGTCTGATGACGATAAATGTATAAAAGAGTCCGCGAAAGCAGCTATTCCGGTCTTTGCCACCGGCCTGCCGGAATATGGTGTCAAATCATTAGATCCTGTTACATTCGACAAAATGGATGCCAGCTCAAACGGCCTAATGCTTGTACTGACCGATGTCAAAGTAACAGGCCTTAAAAATTGTATAGCAAAGAAAATCAAGTAAGTTTTACTATTTATGATATTTCACTAAATTTTTCGAAATAATAATCGCTCGTATTTTTTTAAACGTTACCCTCACATTAGGATTTTCCCTCTATCGTGAAGGCAGTGTACAAACATAAAATACACAAAGACAAACATTTAGACCCAGAACAATTATTTGTAGGCCATACAAATACTTGTTCCGTGCGGGATTCGAACCCGCGGCCCCCAGAGCTGCAACTCACCGCTAAGCCACTGCGCCACGGAGCCGTCAGCTTAAAGTAATTAATTTTAGAAAAAATCTTTCAAAGTATTTATTAAGGATAAAATTGTGTGTTTTTTTAATTATAAATTAGCTTCGTATTAATAAAAAAGCAAACATAATAGCGAAAAATCTTAATGAAGTGACTGATAAAAATAGGAAATAAAAATAACATCAATACAATTATAAACAATTACAGAACATTTTCATAAATTAGTTTTTGTTACGGGTTTTACACTTTGAATAATTTATATTTGTATTTATCTTTTCGCTAACAATAAAATTGGCGTTTTTTATCATCTGCTTCAATCGACTCTCATCACGCATTATCACCTCTTCGCTAATTTTCTGCCGACTTCCAAAAAGGAGACGGTACTCATTTCGACTGTATGTTTTTTTTTAATGTGTGTTACCTCATAACTTTGTACTGGGCGAACCGATTTCGATGATTCTTTTTTTATATGAAAGCTGATAGTGATCAAGGTCAGACCAATGGTTATTGAGTTATTCTTAAATAACCTATATTGAAGTCGCTTATATTGAAGTCGGCTGTACAAAATTTTTAATTTTAAATTATAATTTTATAAGTTAATATCCTATTTCCAAAAGCAGATTCAATAACATTTGATAAAGAATTATGTGAATTTAAAAGATTATGTTGACATCAAAACTATTTATATTAATATATTTATTTATTTCAATTAATCTAGAGATGGATGCCTAACATGTAGGTAGAGGCAACCATGCAAGAATTTTTATTTTCCATAACTTATTGGTTATTCGATCTAAGTGACTGACATATTGCTAAATCAACTTATTCGAGTAAAACTTCAAACGTAACTCTCACAGCTTGCTCAATGATATGGCCGTATACAGAAAGAAAGTTGGCAGCCTATCAGCGCTTATAGGGATCGGTCCATGCTGGTAACCGGCGCAGGCATTAATATGAACAGGCGCCGATAAGCGTCGATAAGCGCCGAACGTCGCCGACAAGTTCCGACAATCTTCTATACGCGCCGGTCAGTGTTGGCGCCGCCCGCTATTTAAAAGTAAAGAACAACTATACGACAACACGTACAACTACGACATGCATACTCGTATATTTTTGTTAAATAGAGAAATGAATAGTGACGTGTTGATTGTACGGAAGACGGCATATCAAGGGTAACACTTAGATACTTTTTAAAATCGCTCTTATCTATATACATATAATATACGCCGATAAGCGCTGGTAGATCGGCGCCGCCTACCAGCTTTTTTTCTGTATACGGCCTTATGTTATACAGCCAGCATTTATAGATCACATCAGTTTTCTTTGTAATATTTCTATCTTATATATATATATCTAACCTTAGAAAATATATAATCTTAGAAAAAGAAAAAGACTCTACAAAGTTTTTTTTTTAATACTCATATTATTCTCCATCGGACCGCAAAAGTCCAATACTGGTCTTGAGCCTCTCCTGTTGAAATCACGCTTGGTAGGTGGGTTAATGAGACGTCTTGCACTTTGACACTGCTCCCCGTGGCTGATCTGGATACTCGTATTTTACGTCTTGCGACGACAAGGTGGTTCTAGCGCCAATTATAGGAAGCCTTAACATCTCTAGGGATTTCTTACAGTCGTCTCGTACGACACCCACGGAGCAAAATAGGGTGATGGATTCTTTTTACGCTGCCACCACATTTTTTAATACGGGTGATATACATATACGTATAATAACCTCTTTGATTGTGTATGTTTGTTTATTAAATCTGATTTTGCTGTACTAAGATCATTTATCCATCCATCAGAGTCTATGGAAAGGCCACTGCTGAACATGGGTCTCAGTCATATATCGCCTTATAGGTGAGATATTTCGAATAGTTACCGCGCTTGAATACACGAAAGTTATGAAGTTACCGCTGCCCATTTCCTGTTTTATTTCCCTCTATTGTCCTCTAACGACACCCAAGTGACGATGTGGGGTATATGATTCTCTAAACCTGCAACAACACGGCTCTTTCTTACTGACAATATTAATGTTAATTAATTACATATCGAATGACGTGCACTTTCGTGGTCATTTGGAAGAGAAGGCCAAATTGGCCTCTAAAAAGCTTGGCGTGCTCAGCAGAGCGGGACAGTATTTCATGCCGGCACACCGCCTGCAACTTTACAAGGCGCAGGTACGGCCTCACATGGAATACTGTTCCCATCTCTGGGCAGGGGCTCCCCAGTACCAGCTCCTTCCACTTGACCGCATCCAACGCAGAGTGGCTCGAATCGTCGACGACCGAGCCCTTTCCGATTGGCTCGATTCATTGGCACTGCGAAGAGATGTTGCATCCCTTTGCATTTTCTTTCGCATCTACCATGGGTAGTGCTCTGAGGAATTGTTCGGATTAATCCCAGCCGCCAAATTTCACGAACGCACATCGCGGCAGAACTCCCGATACCATTCACACCATCTGGATGATTGGCAGTCCACCACTGTGCGATTATGAAGATGTTTTCTTCCTCGCACGACCTCCTTGTGGAATCGATTACCATCTGCGATTTTTCCGGACCGATACGACTTAGGGACCTTCAAGAAAAGAGCGTACTCCTTTTTAAAAGGCCGGCAACGCATCTGCAATTCCCTCCCTGGTGTTGCAGTTGTTCATGGGTGGCGGTAGTCACTTACCATCAGGTGAGCCGCATGCTCGTTTGCCCCCTCTCCCATAAAAAAAAATCTGCACAGTTGTAGCCATGAATAAATCGGATTCAACTAAATTTGACCAAGTGGTGTGTAATTTATGTTATTGTTTATTACATACAATAAACAATATAAATCATGTAATTTCATCTATTTTTTCTACAGTTTTATATGCTTTTGTCAACTTAAGTTTGGACGACTTATCTTGAAAAAGGTAACATAAACCTACGCTCAAAACTAAATGTGAATTTAGCCGGATACTCTTAAGGATATGAATTATACTAACATATACCGGAGCATATATGCTTTTAGGTAATGCTATAAGTAGGAACTACACTGAAATGTGACTGCTATCCCAATGTTTCCCGTAAAAGCCTTAAGGAAACGTGTACATTACAAGATCTTAAATTCTGAGTCATGGTTGGACTCGCATATTTTAGGGTACATATACATAGTTGTTAATTTTATGCTATAACCTTTTTTGCAGACGAGATAAGCCCAACTCTAAAATTTTCATCAAATTGTTGTGCTCGGCCGATTTGGATGGTCAATATGAGATGAAAGGACACCTTCTCATTCTTTCACTTGAAGGGAATGGTGCGGTCCACGTAAAGCTGAGTAAGTAAATGCCATAATTTTTGTTTAAAATCACAACAATTATAGATTTTTTACCCGCGTGCATAAAATTAAATAAATTTCATATAAGATAATCAATAAGCGAATAAAACATATAGATATATTAACATGTTATAAAACTTCATATCTTTAATGTTAAGCATACCTAATAAAATATATAATTAAAATTCAGTTTAAGTATGAGTATGTTTAAACTGAACTTTAAAGCGATTATTACGAATACGTAATAACCGAAATATATCATAGAATTGTCTTAGAGCTAATATATATATATATATATATATATATTTATATATACCTTCGTAGACCAAGAATGATCAGTCTTCTATCAAATTTAGATTTAAAATGTTGTGTTGATTATTTATATGATTCGGTCGCCAGCACTGTAGTGCCTCGATTTTATTCTGTCGTAATTGACACAACTAGGCGAGATCAGCAAGTAATAGAAAAAGTGACGCATTTTTCATTACATCCTTCTTCGCGGTTTCCTTTCATTTGTTGTAAGTTAAATTAAAGTAAGTTTTAGTTCTAAGTAACCCTAAGTTCTAGTAAAGTTGTTATCCGAATGTACCGAATGTAAAATATTCGTAATAATTATATTCCAAATAAGATCTGCAAGATTTTTATCATAATTTCTTTCAATTTATGAAATATTTTAAATGTTTAATCAATACAAAACAATACAGTACAATACAAACACTCACGCCTGTCACTCAGAGGGGTAGGCAGAGACTACGGACTTCCATTTGGCGCGATCCTGACACTTCTCTCGCCTCCTTTACATCCATATATTTACGCATACACGCTCGTCGGTTAAGGGTACTCCTAATCTGGCCCATTTTCAACGTATCGCCGATTTGGTCGATAAATCTTCGTCTAGGGCGTCTCTTCCCGACTTTGCCGTTCACTTCTCAAACATAAATTTACTTTGTCACTCTTTCCTCGTTCATTCTTTCTACGTGACCAAACCACCGAAGCATTCCTTTTTTAATCCTAGTCACAACGTCATCTTGCAAACCACACATTTCTCTTATCACACTATTTCTCACCCTGTCATTCAGATTCAGCCTAGCATACTACGTAATAACCGCATTTCTACAGCCTTTATTCTACTCTCATGCTTCTTCTGCCATACCCAACTTTCACTACCATACATTAAAATAGAGACTAACACAGCATTATGAATTGCCATACGTGCCTTATTTCACATATTCTGACTCCTCATAATACCGTGTAGAGCCCCATCCACTCTATTTCCTGCGTTCACTCGTCGTTCTATATCCTTATCATATCTACCATCCCTGCTAAATAAACATCCCAAATATACAAAGTCATCCACTTGCTCAATCAACTCCCCTTCTATTCTTATTTCACATAACGTTTTACTTTCTTCTCTTTCAAAAACCATCACTTTCGTCTTACTTGCGTTCACTTTCATACCCCTTTCTTTCAATGACCAAGTCATTAAAGTAACCATCATTTGCAACTCGGCCGCCGACGATGCAAATATGACTTGATCATCGGCGTACAAAAGGCATTTGACAGTAAACTCACCCATTCTCAACCCACATTCTTCAACTTTCAAACTTTGCAAACAACTATCCATAAATAGGTTAAACAGCCACGGAGAAGCTACACAACCCTGTTTGACACCTTTTTGAATGCCAAACCAGTCCGAGTAGGCCCCGTTGATCCTGACACAAGCACTAGAGTCCCTATAAAGAGACTTTAATGCCTGTATCAGACCAGCGCTCAACCCAATGAGGTCAGTGTTTGCCATAACACGTTCCTGTCCACTCTGTCATAAGCCTTTTCCAAGTCCATGAACGCACAAAAAACTTTCTGGTTTTTGGCCAAAAATTTCTCCGCAATCATGCGCATGGAAAAGACTTGATCCATACATCCCATCCCCTTTCTAAATCCAGCTTGCACATCCCAAATTTTTCCATCAGTTTCTTCCATAACTCTTTCAATTAACACCTTAGCATACAGTTTACCCACGATGCCAAGCAAACTGATACCACGGTAGTTTTTACATTCCTGCTGCGACCCCTTTCCCTTATATATTGGGACTATAACGGCTTTGCACCAGTCTTCCGGTAACCGCTTCAGTTCCCAACATAAATTAAACAAGGTGTACAGCAGGCCTGCAACTACACCCTTCCCAGTCCTTAGCATTTCGAGTGATACTCTATCATATTCGGCTGTCTTACCTTATGTTTAATCAATTGAATTAAAATTTCTAAAACCGGTATAAAAACAAAAATCAAACTAAATTTTTAATGTAGTTTGATATTTCACGGCAATATGTATTTTTTAACTTTATATTCCAGGGCAAATTGAAATCGACGTGGACATAGATTTAGAAGATCAAAACAACAAGTGGAAAATCAAGCGCTGGCAACATTCTTTTAATTTGAAGGGCGAATCAGAAGTAGTTTTCGAAAATCTATTTAGTGGCAACAAAGATTTGGGTTCGTATTTAATAATTATAGTTTAATGCAATGCCCTCCCCTCATCGCTCAAATATAAAACATGCTTGATTCTATTAGATTCGCTATTGTGGTATTCTATAGATTTTTTTTTAAATTGCTGGATTTTTTTTATAGGATAAGGGTAACAAACGAGCACACAGTCCACATGATGGTAAGTGGTTGCTGCGGCCCATAGACATCTACATCTATCCTCTGCTACAAATCAAAATGTAGATGCGTTGTCACCCGTGAGGACTAAGATGGAATCCCTCATTTCCAGTAAAAAGGGCCTCCGGCCACCTGCACTCACCAAGCGAAACGCAGAGGTAAACCTCTACTTCACGCTGGTTTTCTGTGAGGTCGTGGTACTACTCCGGTTCGAGCCGGCCCATCCGTGCGACAGCAAAAGCTGCCACGTGTAATTTAATTTTCTATAATAATTCTGGGTGTAATTTATCTATAATATTTATGTATTTAGAAATATATAAGTATGTTTATCAGTTATCTAGTACCCATAACACAAGCTCTGCTTAGCTTGGGACTAGATGGCGTTGTTTGATAGTTGTGGAATATTATTATTATTATTATTATTATTATTATTTATAATATAAAAGTACGCGTTACAAATAAGCACACAGAAAATTTGTAATGTACTAATGGATGACCTGATACAACTTACCTTACCTTGAATAACAATCCAATGCAGATGCGATGTTTCCACTGAGGACTAAGATAGAATGTACCTGTAAAAAGGGTCTCCGGTTTTCGTCACTTCCCATACGAAACACAGCAGGATTATATTCTTTTTCACGCTGGTATATAGAGGCCCTTTCCCGGTTCAGCCAGACCAATCGTGCTACAACTATAACACCTCGTCTATAATCAGGAGTTTATTGTTATATTGCTTCAGTAAAATACATCGAATAGTTGTAACAATAATAACATTATTTTGTATATTTAAAGAAAAATATTAAGAAAATATAAAATAACCCTCTTGGATGATATTGAAGGTCCACTTTAACAAACTCTTTGGTTCGTCAGTGAACTTATTTCTTCACATATACCTCGAGTAGACCGTATTTTTGACGCTTAATGGCATAATGAATACCTTATTCAGTTTCTATTAGAATCAATATTGTATAGTATTTTCTTCTTAAGCACAACACCCGAACTTGCAATTGTTTACGATAATTATTAGTTAACAAATAGGCAAATCGCAACCAACCCTGTGAAAGAATAGGTCTTTTTTACTTTATTTTTATTTTTCATTTGAAAAGGGATAAAATAATAATTTTGTAATATATATACATTATTTTCTTTTATTTTTCTCATCCTATAATGTGGCGACTAACGCCGGTGTTCCTCAGGTGTCCGTTCTCTCCGCAACTCTCTTCGTGCTGCATATAAATGATCTGCTCATTCCCGGTGTCTAGGGGTATGCAGACGACAGCACAATTGTGGGGAGATACCAACCAGGTGCCCGAGCCAGTTGAGATCAAATCCAGTCAGAAAGAGAGGCTATGGTTAAGCGTGTCGCACGACAGGCAGTCTCCGAATGGGGCGATGCCAATTTAGTGAGATTTTATGCCTCCAAAACACAAGCGTATCTTTTCACCGCTAAAAGGAGCCCGCTCACCTTGGCTCCTACTTTCCGGAATGTATCCTTGGAGTACACTGACCGCCTTTAGTTGTTAGAGGTTGAATTTTCTCCGAACCTCAACTATAGGCGGTTTATTAAGTCCAGAGCCAAAACAGCCGCAAAGAAACTTGGTGTCATTGCAAGGGTGCGGCGGTACTTCACGCTGGGGCAGCTTCTTACCTTATATAAAGCGCAAGTCCGGTCGTGCATGGAGTACTGCTGTCACATACGAGCTGGTGCTGCAAAATGCCACCTGGTAGCGTTGGACTCAGTGAAAAGACGTGTTAAGAGGCTTGATTGACCTTGATTTGGTTGAAACCAATCTTGTCAGCCTCGAGCACAGACGCAGAGTAGCCAGTATCTCGGTATTCTATAGGATGCATTTCGGTGCGTGTGCGCAGGACTTACACGCTATAATTCCTTCCTCTCCTTTCCACCATCGCACAACTAGGCGGTCGGCGGATTTTCACCCATTTGTTGTCGATATACCATGCACTAGGACCAAAAGGTTTGCTTCGTCTTTTGTAATGCGTACAACAAAGGAGTGGAATAATTTGCCGGCGTCTATCTTTCCGTCCGAATACAATCTGGGTGTCTTCAAGGCAAGATTGAATTGGCGTTTATTACGCTCAGACAGTGCGATTTACCATCTAGGGCTGCATTACCACTTACCACCAGGTCGGATTGTGGTCAAGTACTTGCTTATAATAAGTTAAAAAAAACAAGTTTAGTACAAAAGATCTAACGTAAAACTCTTTCAGTTCGTTTAATTTATTTAGTAACTACTTGCACACCTTGTATTATTCTTAATTAACTGAAACAAAAAATTAATATGATCTTTAACGTTATTTTTTGCAGCCAGCGCAGCTCAAGAAATAATAGCCAAAAGTGGAAACGATATAATTTATGAAGTGGGTACTCCAGTAATCAAAGCCGTCGTTGGTCAAGTCGTTAAAACAGTCAATTCATTCTTCCACGCTGTGTCTGCAGACGAACTATCCTTAGATTAATACTTTTTTTTTTAAATTAAGATACACTTATTAAAAGATACTTGTTTGGGGATTTATGTTTTATTTCATTTAGCTTATTTGGATATTAACTTTTGACTGATAACGTAATTTTTCTTATTTTTAATGTTGAAATTAACCACAGGTAGATATTGGCATTTACAAAAAGATTTACGACCCATATTAGTTTTATCTTATAGTGAAACTTTTATTTAATATCACTTATACATTTCATCTTGGTCTTTAGAGATAACAACGATTTTTTTGGCATCTAAGAAGCAAAGTAAAGGGCTAACCTCTGGAAAGCGGGGGAGGGAGGTGGTGAATGCTCTTAGTCACGTAGCCGGCTGCGTGGTTATGTGGGACTCACTATGAAACCTAAGTGCCTACCCACTAAACACCACCTGGGACTGGTTTTGGCTTGGAGGGCCTTTCTGCCGTATCGGACGCGACCCCCCTTAGCGAAAAGGGGCGCAGGCGGCGAGTAGCCGCTGAGAGGCGCGCCTAACTAAGACAAATTATGTAAAGAGAGAAGATTCGACCTGAGCCGCCCGGAGTTGGGGGGTCCGAGAGAGAGTTTCTCGGCCTGCGAACTCGATAGCGAGAAGGAAGTGGGGCTGCATAGGAAGCTGCCTTACGAATAAGATGATTTGGGTGAGACTGAGGCTATCAAGAAGTTGTCAGAGAGTGATTTTAGAAATTGTTGGATTGTCGGGAGCTCTAAGTCTTGGTGAAGGTCGGCGTAGCCCGACGACAAGAATAATTTTGGACGATTTGAAGTTCGTTTAGGATTCTAGGTTTAGCATGAGCAAAAATGGGGGCCGTATATGTCATAACTGGTCATATAGAATAGGGTTCGGAGAGAGTTGCGAAGTTGTTGCGGTGCGAGTTACTTTCTTAACATGGAGCTCGAGAGAGAGGCTCGTGTCAAGGGTGACACCTAAGAATTTGGCGGTCTTATGCCAGGTCACAGGGGTTCCTAACATTCGGATGAGCGGAATTGTAGTGGGGCGGCGTCGTTTTATGTTCGAAGCAAACGGCGGAGCTCTTCTCCGGGTTCACATTCATACGCCATTTTTGGAACCAAGCTTCTAAGTCACTAACTGACTGTTAGATCTTGTTCCGGATAGAAGGTAGTGAGGTACCTTTGTAATAGAGTGCTGTGTCATCAGCAAAGAGTGAGAGCTGAACACCTTTCGACGGAATGGGAATGTCGTTGTTGAACAGTATATATAAAAGAGGGGCAAGCACGGAGCCCTGAGGCACGCCGGCTTGGATATGACGCGGAGAGGAGAGCGTGCCTTCGTGTCTGAAACGAAAGGTATGATCGTATAAGTAGATAACAACGATTCTGAGGCCTTCTTTATTTAAAGTTGTTTGCTGTTGTCTATGGGCTGCAGAAGATACAATCAAATGGACATTAATTTTGTTTGTCACTCCAATTTTTTAAAAACATTATACGATTGCTTTGCGTGCCTAAATTAATAAGCGTAATGCGTTTGTACATTTAGCAGCATTTTTCAGCATCCAAATGATCAAAATATTAAATTTAAAGAAAGAAAAACTATAACTTTTGACAATTAATAGTAAGTAGTAGCAAGTTATGAATTAATTTAATTAAAAATAATTATTAAGACGTTGCAGAACAAGACGAATCTTGACGTTTTAGAGCAATTCTCGCTAATGGTTGTATTGTAGGAAATCAACAAGTGAATAATTTTATAATAATATAGAACTGCAAAAAAAGGGGAAAATATAAAAGAAAACTCTCATCTAGTTTTGTAGGTTTAGAAGACAGTCTAAGTCAATGACTATATAAGTTTAAGTGCTAACAACCACGACAGTCGTCGTGGTGGTTTTGGCGAGCTCGTTTTCACGGTGGACGCCATGCTTTTGCGCGAGTGTGACGGGTTGTCAGAGATTGTGAACATGGACGACGAATTTTTATTTTTAATCGGAAATTCTTACCTATAGTGGGAGATGACAAGAAGTATAATTGGTGTGCACGATATTAATAAAGAAAGATAACTGGCAGAGGGGAATAATTGAAAGGCGAGTACATTGGGTTGAATGGTCAATCGTTTGTAGAGACAACTTCAAAATTGTTGATCTTGCCTGAGATCGCGAGTCAATCGCGCGCTCCGCCGCTAGTTCCTCTTACCTATTTCAGTCGCTACATTGCTGTGTCTGAATTGCTTCATTGTATAGGTTATAGGTAAGTGTATAGGTTCTCTATATTATAGGTATAATTACACACTGTAAAGCATTCTTTGTTTGAAATTGGCTCAAGGTGTTCATGGTCTGCAGTATCCCCTTACTATCAGGTAAACTGTAGTTTATCTGTCACTTGAAAATTTTATCCAAAGCATTTTTATGATTTGTGACCTTAATCTTATATTACAAGTTAATGTCGTATTTTTATTATGTTTAAATCTGTTTTATACAAGCAATAGAGTACTAAAATATAAGTAATACAAGGCCAGGTCACGTTTAACTCTTCTTTGGATTATGTAGATTGGTATGTATGTATATTTTGTCTGTTCCTTTGTGACCAATTCTCTCTGTACAATTTGCTGGCGACAAAAATTAGCGTCTAAGTCAGCGTCGTCAGTGTGAATACGCTCACACCCTTTAAGTTTGGCGATTATGACAAATTATTTAAGAGAGACACTGAAAAGCTCTCTCCGTACTTCGGTACATTTATTCTTATTCTTAAAAAAATAATTTCTGTTACAGCCGTACGCTCTTCACGAGCGCACTCCTTACCTCTTATGAAAGTCTGATGCTGAGATGCAAAATCTGATCTGATCTGATTTTGCATCTCAGCATTAGACTTTCATAGGAGCTTTGTATGGACTATAAATAATTGTTTGGAGCCTGCATGTTTGTATATGTGCAATTTATAAATGTAAGACATCCCCAGCATACAAAAGAAAATCTTACTTTCGAGAAAGATTTTTTAAACTAATCAAAGCTCGATTCATTCTCCCACCTTGAGTTTCTATTAAGTACCTGTATATAGAGGCGGCGTAAAAATATCCGCTACGCCTTATCAACCCGTGGGTGACTGAAGAGACGACAAAAGGAAACTGAATCAGGAGAGTGGCAGCATCACCTTTCTTACTGTTACCGTTACAGGCTATTAAAGTCCACTGCTGAACATAGACCTCCTCCATAAATTGCCTCATAGTCCCGGGTCAGCACAAGAGCAGTTTTTTATTTTTATTTTTAATCGTTATTAGGACAACGCTGCTGGCCATCTCCTGAGTTGTTTCCCTCTGTCGCCTCTTACAACAACCACTGGATGATATTAGGATAACTTTCTAATAATAAATAAATAGATGAAAATAAGCCGCACGTCTGGCGTGAGAACTATGGCTAAATCCTCCCCATGATATGATCGATGGTGGAGGCCTATGCTCAGCAATGTGATGGGTAGTGATGATGATGATGAGTTTCTACAATAACATTTACTAACAGAATAGATTTGTAATTATGGTTGTTACATATTATCTTATGGGAAAGACAAGTTGTTGTCTATAGTTGATTGTTGTAGACTTAATTGAACAATGATCATTGAAAACACCAGAAACAATGTCAAGAATATTTTAAAAACGTCGAAGTCAATAAACCTAATGTACCTATATTTGTTTACATTGAAAAAAGATATGTTTAATATATATAACCTGTAACTTTGTTAAAACACAATATTGTCCTGTTTTGAGATAGGTCTATTTAAAAAAATAGTAATGGTTGCTATTTTTTTTAATGCAGACTATGGTTATAATATTAATCACAGTATTCTTAAATTATGCATTATTTTAGAAATTATGCGGCTTAAATGCTCTGCCTACTCCTCTATAAATGGAAGTAGCTATTTGAATTCGCAACTTATGAAAAGCTGACGAGCTCTAGGAGTATAAAAATTTCATAATCAAACCTGTATGATGATCTGCACGGTTAGCCACGATATAATTAAATCAGCTAGGTCGCGCAACTATTACTTTCGGACAAAAAATTTGTCACTAGCAGGAGACATCCAGTTGGCAGTGTTTTTAACCCTTAGCCTCGAAAATCACATAAAGATGTAGGTGCTGATCTCTCTTCCGGTAGGGACGACTCTAGTCCAGTTAAAATGTCAGAAGACATAGTTATGCGTGTTGACCTCTAAAAAGAACCCTTTTGCAATATCTCCTCAATTTCATGGTACTCCCTATGCTGTCTTAGCCAGCATCGGAATCCTCGTCATCGACGTATCGAATGTCATACAGTTGCTCGGTCACTTGGAAGAGAAAACTGAATTTGCCTCTAATAATCTTGGCGTACTCAGCAGAGTGGAACAGTATTTCATGCCAGCAGACCGTTTGCAACATTACAAGGTACAATTCACATGGAGTACTGTTCTAATCTTTGGACCGGGGCACCCCAGAGTCAGCTTCTTTCACTTGATTTGACCACTTGAAACAGTGCCTCAAATCGTAGACTACCGAGTTCTTTCCGATCGGCTCGATTCACTGGCGTTGCGAAGGGCAAATGCGGTTTCCACAGGGAGTACTTAGACAAATGAACAATTTCTCTAAGGATTAATTCCATCCGCCAAATTTTAAAACTCACCGTACCATCCACACCATATGGATGCTTAGCGGTCCTCCATGACTTTGCGATTTACTAGGAGTTTACTTCTTTGCAAGACCGGTGGGGGAGCGTCGATACTCTAACTCAGACACTGACCGTCGGGCTATGAGAGTGAAGTATATGGATTGAACCTATGCTTGCGCATACACTTGGACACTATAATGCCATGCCAAACATTATATCATTGACATTCAGTTCAAAAAACAATTACACTTCAGATATTACATATACATCTCCTTCTTCTCCTTCATAAACTTCAGAGGTGGTCCTATATGAATTTAAAGAATATCTTACATCCCTAAGGGTAGGAAAGATAGGTGATAGTGATTTTAACATCGGTACCTATTTACGGGACAGTCTAGTCATTAGCTTAAGCTTGTCATATTTTTTATAACGCTTAAAAGGGTAAAATTATTAAACTTTTATTAAAAAGTAAAAAAATACACATAAAAGATTCTGAACCACAGACTTCAGTACCTATCATTTGATTATTTTTAATGTTTGAAGTAGGTTTTATTTTGATTAAAAGTTTTATTAATTATTTGTTTATATCTTGACTGTTAAATTATTACATGACCCATGAACTTCTGAATCTCTTAACTTTAATTAAATATATTTGAGAAAGTTCAGGGAAGTTTTAAACGGTGAGAAACATAAATAATAAGTAACAGAAAATACTAAAAACGACAATTTATTTTTCATACAAAATGTTCCTAGCTGTGAAGTGAGGTCCGATTTCTTGGGTCTGTTTTGTTTCAGAAATAATAAAAAAAAAGTAAAAGTGTTAGTTAGTTGTCAAAAAAAGAAAAGAAACAAATTTCAAGACGATTAATAAAATCTATCATCAGTTGGTCAGTGCGCGAGAACGTGATTATTGTTATTGTTTTAAAATGCCAACGAGAAGACGTTCTTGACTTAGGTCGTCGAATTCAATCAAATGTGCGACGAGCTACCTCACGTTAAACCGCACTGACGACCAACGAGAGACAGATAATAATAATATTCGTATTGGCAGAATTGCTTTCCATAGTGAATAATAATGTAGTATATCTACTTCATTATTGTTCACTATGGAATAAAAATGATATATGGGCTTAGAATGGAACGAGTTCGGGGATACCAAACATAACAACAGACAGCAATAAACAATGAAATAGAGCGATTCCCAAGACGTAGTGTTCTTGTAAACCTGGAACGAATAGCATTCCACTACGATCCAAAAACAGATTATTGTGCTTATCAATCCGTAAAAATTGGGGAAATGAAAACCATTTGTCAATATTGTAAAGCGTTAAAATCAAATATATTTAAGTAGTGATAACAGACCGGACATCAGCAACAAAATGGTTACCTCTTACTTATGTCTTATAGGCTATATTTCGGATATGTGTCATTTATATCATTATGACATCATTAAAAGCTCAAGACGCATTCGTTTCCTAAATTTAAAAAATATTTTTAAAATAAATATCCTAAATAAATAATAAATAAATATTGTGCATTATGGTATTGTAAGTCCCAATATGTAGCAAAAACTGAATGTGATTTCGATTTATTATCGCAAGTATAATGTATATTTATCGCATAATTTTTATAGAACATTTATCATTATTTTAATAAGCGCCCTCTGCTATTCAGTAACGTCACCAAATGATTTAGTGATCGACAACGTTTATCGATTGGTGCTATCGATAAAAAATATTATACAGGATGCAGATTTAATCTACAATATTTAAGGAGGTGAAACGGTAAACGGTACGCATACCAATAAAGAAATCGGGTGGGCCTGTGTGCCTGTGCATTGCCGTGTAGTGGCGGTTAAGAATACCCACTACCCCATATCTTCCCGTGGGTGTCGTAAAAGGCGACAAAGGGAAACAGGCAGGAGATGGGCAGCAGCAT